GAAAAAAGTATTTGATCCCCTGCTGATTTTGTACGTTTGCCCACTGACAAAGAAATGATCAGTCTATAATTTTAATGGTAGGTTTATTTGCACAGTGAGAGACAGAATAACAACAAAAAAATCCAGAAAAACGTGTCAAAAATGTTATAAATTGATTTGCATTTTAATGAGGGAAATAAGTATTTGACACCCTCTTAATCAGAAAGATTTCTAGCTCCCAGGTGTCTTTGATACAGGTAACGAGCTGAGATTAGGAGCACACTCTTAAAGGGAGTGGTCCTAATCTCAGCTTGTTACCTGTATAAAAGACACCTGTCGACAGAAGCAATCAATCAGATTCCAAACTCTCCACCATGGCCAAGACCAAAGAGCTCTCCAAGGATGTCAGGGACAAGATTGTAGACCTACACAAGGCTAGAATGGGCTACAAGACCATTGCCAAGCAGCTTGGTGAGAAGGTGATAACAGTCGGTGCGATTATTCGCGAATGGAAGAAACACAAAAGAACTGTCAATCTCCCTCGGCCTGGGGCTCCATGCAAGATCTCACCTCGTGGAGTTGCAATGATCATGAGAACGGTGAGGAATCAGCCCAGAACTACACAGGAGGATCTTGTCAATGATCTCAAGGCAGCTGGGACCATAGTCACCAAGCAAACAATTGGTAACACACTACGCCGTGAAGGACTGAAATCTTGCAGCACCCGCAAAGGTCCCCCTGCTCAAGAATGCACATATATATGCCTGTCTGAAGTTTGCCAATGAACATCTGAATGATTTAGAGGACAAATGGGTGAAAATGTTGTGGTCAGATGAGACCAAAATGGAGCTCTTTGGCATCAACTCAACTCGCCGTATTTTGAGGAGGAGGAATGCTGCCTATGACCCCAAGAACACAATCCCCACCGTCAAACATGGAGGTGGAAACATTATGCTTTGGGGGTGTTTTTCTGCTAAGGGGACAGGACAACTTCACCGCATCAAAGGGACAATGGACGGGGCCATGTACCGTCAAATCTTGGGTGAGAACCTCCTTCCCTCAGCGAGGGCATTGAAAATGAGTTGTGGATGGGTATTCCAGCATGACAATGACCCAAAACACACGGCCAAGGCAACAAAGGAGTGGCTCAAGAAGAAGCACAAGAAGGTCCTGGAGTGGCCTAGCCAGTCTCTAGACCAGTGGTTCTTAACCTTGTTGGAGGTACCGAACCCCACCAGTTTCATATGCGCATTCACCGAACCCCTCTTTAGTGAAAAATAAAATGTGATTTTTTTCAAATTCAAGACGTAGATATGTTTTTTACTGGTACACAAAATGAGCCGTGCATGAACATTACCTTGTTCAAAGAATAAAACCAACACAATGCATAAACTCACAACAAATTACATACCTGGAAATCAATGTGACTTCTGCTGTTGCCTTTGAGAGATCAGTTCAGATATGCGTGGCTTCACCTTGGCAAGTGCCACTCTCATGTCATTTTCACAGCAAAGTCTGTTCCTTTTCTTCGTTTTTATGTCCAGCATCCTCGAAAAGGATTGCTCACAAAGATATGTTGTAACAAATGGTATAAAAAAATCCAGGGCTTTCTTAGCAATAACTGGATACTTGTTCATTTGTCGACACCAAAACGTTGAGAGCGTTGTTGTTCTGAAGAGTTGCTGTTGAACCTGGCTCTGCTGAATTTCAATGATTTCGTCGAGGAATTCATCATTGACATCTGCTGTTTCAACAGCAAACGTGAACGGCTGTCTCACCCATGCTGGATATGACTCTCTTGTAGGGAAATATCCGTCGAGAGACTTTGCAAGCTCATCTAAGTGCGTGGCAATTGTTTGCTTCAGTTCCGTGGATACAGAAATATCTCCGATTCCAGACACATCTTCGATCTTACTTGCACAGTCGTCCAGAAGCGGGAAGTTTGCGAAGTTATTGTTCTCTGTTCGTCGTTTCAATAACGGTAGCTTTTTTTGAAAAGCCTTCAGGTGTTCTTCCGCTTCCATGATATTGACTCCACCACCCTGCATCTGCTGATTGAGATGATTGAGAGCTGCGAATATATCAGCCATGTACGCTAAAATGAGAATGAACTCAGGATTTTTGAAGCAATCTGCATGGCAGTGTTGGTGCTCTTGCAAAAACAGGGCTAATTCCACACGCATGGCAAAAAACACGATTCAGCACCTGTCCCCGGGATAACCACCGAATATTAGAATGGAGCAGAAGTACCTCAAATTCAGAGCCCATTTATTTACACAGCTCACTGAAGATGCGGTGCCTCAGAGCACTTTTTCGCACATAGTTCACACATTCCACCGCAGTTTTTAATACTTCTGCCATTTTTGGAGGTAAGGTTTTTGTTGCCAACGCATGCCTGTGCAGAATGCAATGCGTCACAATGATGTGTGGTGCATCGGCCTTTACTAGCGCACCAAAACCAGACTTTCTTCCCAGCATGACTGGAGCTCCGTCCGTACAAACTGCAGAAACCATATCCCATGAAAGATTGTTGTCTCTGAAGAAGTCATCCACAAGCTTCTTCACATCGGCTGCCTTCGTTGTTGTTGTAAGAGGCTTACAAAATAAAAAAACTCTTCTTTTATCATGTCGTCTTTCACATAGCGTACAAAAACAGCAAGCTGGCTTAGATCAGAAACGTCTGTGGTTTCGTCGAGTTGAAGGCTGAATTTTGCCGGGCTTGAAATCAGATCCGCGACTACTTGAGCCAAGATGTCTTTACTCATGTCTTCTATTCTGTCACTGACGGTGTCATTTGAAAGGGGAATTTGGGATAATTTACCTTCGGCCGCTGTTCCGAGTATCAGATTCGCCATCTTTAATGCAGCTGGTTTCACAAGTGTTTCACCAATGGTGTGTGGCTTGCCCTGCTTTGCGATCAGGTAAGCAACTTCGTACGATGCTGTCAGGATCGGTTTGTTAACAGGTACAAATCCAAGAGCAGGCAGAGTGGCCCTTTCATCGAATCTGGCTCTCTTCACCCTGAATTCAGCAAGTGTTGTGTTCTTGTATTCCCCGTCTCCATGCAGCTTCAAGAAGTGTTCCTTTAGTTTTGCCGGTGCAAGACTAGAGTTGCTCAACTTGGCGTTGCAAATCATGCAGATAGGACGCTCACTCCCATCACGTTCCGTGATACATGAGAATCCATGTTGTACATATTCGTCCGACCACTTTCTTCTTTTGCCCGACATAGTTAGTATGCAAAAAATATTAAAGAAATCACACGACGTACGACAACAACAGTCACACGTTGACTACTGAGTACGCACTAAATTCCCCGCAGCGCTGATTGGCCAAGCAGTGTAGCATGATCATCTGCAGCCAGTGATGGCCAAGCGGGCCGTGTGTGTCATCACAAATTTACACAATAATTCAAGTGTGTCCGGACCTCCGTGGCGGGGGCTCTGCCGAACCCCTGAGATCGACTCACCGAACCCCTGGGGTTCGATCGAACCCAGGTTAAGAACCACTGCTCTAGACCTTAATCCCATAGAAAATCTGTGGAGGGAGCTGAAGGTTTGAGTTGCCAAACGTCAGCCTCGAAACCTTAATGACCTGGAGAAGATCTGCAAAGAGGAGTGGGACAAAATCCCTCCTGAGATGTGTGCAAACCTGGTGGACAACTACAAGAAACGTCTGACCTCTGATTGCTAACAAGGGTTTTGGCACCAAGTACTAATTCATGTTTTGCAGAGGGGTCAAATACTTATTTCCCTCATTACAATGCAAATCAATTCATAACATTTTTGACCTGCGTTTTTATGGATTTTTTGTTGTTATTCTGTCTCTCACTGTTCAAATAAACCTACCATTAAAATTATAGACTGATCATTTCTTTGTCAGTGGGCAAATGTACAAATCAGCAGGGGATCAAATACTTTTTTCCCTCACTGTACATAGGGGCTCACTAGAGGGCAGATTCCGGATGTCACGGAGGTCGGATCAGGACGTGACAGTCTGGGTGAACCCGAGAGAGCACGTGACCGGACGAGGGGGCACGGGGACCCCCAGGAGGGAGGGAGTGGGCCACGTGATGTGGACCCAGAGCCTCCGCAAAGGAGCGAGAGAAGGGGGCGTGACCAGGGGCGTGACCAGGGGCGTGACCAGGGGCGTGACCAGGGGCGTGACCAGGGGCGTGACCAGGGGCGTGACCAGGGGCGTGACCAGGGGCAGAGGCGATATAAGCCCAGTCCCGTGAGGGAGCGTGGCTGTTCGACCCGGGAATGAAACCGCCTTCTTCGATCCTCGCTCTTCAGTCTCCGCGCACAATGACCCGATGGCGTGTCGGCTGTTCTGGTTCAACCATATAGTGATTCCGTTCAAGTGGTTAGGTGGTTAGGAACGGTGGCCACCACCTTACGTAGTTAACCCGAAATGTACAAAGTTAACCTTGGAACGTTGAGCAGTGTTGGTTGTGTTAGTGAATAAACGTGTTGCCTCCAAGTCTTGGTGTGCACCTGGTTAGAACTCACTCCAGACATACAAAACTAAAGTCGTATTCATCATGCAGGTTTGACGAATATGCGAGGGCAATCATCTCGGCCCAAGATTTGTTTTTCCCTCCACAACTAGCAGCAATTCAAACTAGCAGTAATTACTGTCCGCCTGATGCTAGTTATAATTACTGGTGAAACGTTGTACTCGGAATGTAAATTTTGTGGGTTTCTCTCCAACACACCAATGTGCTAAGCTAGTAACGAATTGGCACGTTTTATTTACGTTACAAACCTTACTAATTGGCTGTGCCGGGTTTAAAGAAACATTTACGCGATATAACCAAAAAAAACCTATGATGGACTTTTGAGAAAAATTTGTTAATTTCATAAGTGATTGAACTTGGATTAAAAGAGGTTTGTGTTACAGCTACCAAACAAATTCACAAAGACACGAGGAACCAACAAAGATGGAATTAAGTATTTTAATCGGTAGATCTGGAAACAATGGTCACAAAGTGCTCATGATCTGGCATTTTCCCCGGATAATTGAATTATGAAATAGCGTGATTTTGTTATGTTAGTGTTTTTTATGCTTAACATAAAAATGCATCTCTTTACCATTTTCTAATAAACATTTAATTCACAATTAACGTACTATTCCATTTCTGTTAATTCAATACTGAACAATTGGCAAATCAAAGTCTCCCGCCTCTCCAAACCTATAGTTTCCAGCTGTCACATCTCTCTGTCAAACGTGACTCTAAAGTATAAACAATTTTTATTTTCCCAGGTGTTTGTGTATATATGTTGAACTTCTTTTGCCCCCTACATAGCCAAGCGTGCTAATGGGAGGTCCAGGCAAGGCTCATTAAGCTATGTAGCTTTCTTTCAAAAGCAACTTGGCCACAAATGATAGCTCAACAAAGTGGGCTTATCATAACGTGGACGTTTATAGCAGCCTAATATTCAAAACGCGTGGATGTTGATTCTAAATGTGGAGGGAAAAACCAGAGGGCCCGGAGAAAAATCCACAGAACCACGGGGAGAGTGAACACGCAAACTCCAAACTACCAGGAATCAGGGTCGAGATCGAACCCATGACCTATATACCGGGCGAGGTAATTAACATCTCCTAGCCACCGTGGCGCCTCCAATATACTGTGAAGTCTCCAGCAGCAATAACAGCAACAGCTACAGCAGCAGCTACAGCAGCTGCTACAGCAGTAGCAGCAGCAGCTACAGCAGTAACAATAGCAGCAGCTATAGCAGCAGCAGCAGGGGCTAAATGCGGCTGATGGCGCACAGCTCGTAGGCCGGGGCGGACAGCACGAATCCCGGGCACAGCGTGAGCTTGGGGAGTGGCCGCCCCGGCGGAGCGTGGAACGAGAAGTTCTGCAGCAGCGCGGAGAGGAAGACAAAGAGCTCCGTGCGCGCCAGGCTCTCCCCCATGCACATGCGGCGACCTGGGCAACGGAGCGGCACAAGAGGGGAAGTGAAAACAAGCCCTTTGATTGGTACTTAACGGGACTGAAAGGGGATTGGTTAGAGGCAGGGATATAGAAGGGATTTGAGGTAGAAATACAAGATGGAAAGAGCGGGGAAACGGAGGATGATTGACAGGGATGTCGGTTTGTATCGATTCGGCAAAGTGGAAGGTGATTGGCTGGAGTTGAAAGTCGGCCAAGGAAACTTCGGGGGAAACGCGAGAGCTCGGTACGCTTTGGAGAAAAGGGAATTCTTGAAGACCCGCGTCTCGTGCCGGAAGAAGTAAATACTCCAACTGCTGAGGACTTACTGTGTCGGGTGTCACTGCACCTGTAACTGTGATCACTTTTGTGGGACCATATCGACAGTATTTAGATGGCAATAATACAGGAGGTGTTAAGATGTTAAAACACCAAATAGACACCGATCGCAAGGCATTAAATCTGCATTAACCACACATACTTGTGGTAAAACATGCAAACAAATATGCTTTGATAATGTATGCATAGTAACTCCGATATAGTGCTAGAAAGGGGAGCATTTTTATAATAATTTTCACCTTTATGTTTGTCCACATTGACTTTAAACGAAAACTTTTCATGTTACCAGGTGAGGCCGAATGAGCTATGCAGCTCTTTTTTAAAAGTGACCTGGCCACAAATGATAGCTCAACAAAGTGGTTAATCACGTGGAAATTTATAGCAGCCAAATATTCTAAATGATTGATGTTGATTCTAAATGTGGAGGGAAAAGCCGGAGGACCCGGAGAAAAATCCACGTGACCATGGGCAGAGAGTAATGCAAACTCCAAATATACAGGCGGTGGGGTTGGGGTCAAACCCACGACCTCCTGCAGATGAGGAGAGGTAATTAACATCTCACCACCTTCGTCCAAGCCGGCATCTTCTATTCATTCCGTAAGGATTTGTAAATCTTTTAATCGGGTTGTACAATAAGACCCTACTGCTGACCTACAAGGCACTCAGTGGTTTAGCCCCGCAGTATCTACAGGAACTGATCCGTGTTGACTCTTCAACGAGGTCTCTGACATCTCCAGATCACCTTCTTCTAAGGATTCCGAGGTCAAGGCTCTGTTCCTGGGGTCATCGGCCTTTGGCCACTGTGCAGCTCCCAGGCTTTGGGACGCTATTTGTAGGGCGCATTCGTAGATTCCCAAAGCACCCCCGTGTATGGAAAGCAGAAAATAAAGAGAACCTGCAGGGTTAATAGGACCGGAACTAGGCGTGTTAAAAGGGCAATTTAAAGGGGTGATTTTTCAAGACGAAATTAAAATGGTCGAACGACTGTGATGGTCTTATTAGCAAAGGCAAAGCATTCCATAGCCTGGGAGCAGGACCGGAAAAAGCCGCGATCACCCCCGGAAATTAGTTTTGGCCTCGGAGTACATCGAGCAGCGTTCTTCACTAATTTTCAGAGGAAGACCACTTTCGCCGATATGACATCATCAGCGTGATGGCCGCCACACATGTGAAACCATTGGGGGTTTCACAGCAGCACGATGATGATGAGGTGGTGTTTTCACAATTTGCGTGTTGTCAGGGGCCGCACGTCAGGGGTCGCACTAAAGGCCACCAGGAGCCACCAGTGGCCCGTGGTGGCTTTGCAATGACAAACACTGCAGTATAACTGTATATTGATGTGTGTTACATTGAACGAAGGCACGCGTGTTTTCCATTAAGAAGTGACGATGTGAGCGAGGGATAGCACTTGATTTTTTCTTCCTGTAATGCTCGGTCAACATTCTGTTCTGAATGCTGTTTGCTCTCTGTTGGTCAGAAACAAGGTGTTTGGTTTAATGGGCACCAAAGGTCGCGTCGCCAAACACTCCCAAACCCATACACATCGCCCTGGGTTTGGGAGTGATGAAGAACGATGACTTAGAAGGCGATCCAAAGATCTCAGTCACCTCGTTGGGAATCTTAAAGATGGATCGGTTTCTGCAAATACTGCCACAGTGTCTTCGGCCAATACAAAGGAGACAAAAACACATCAGCATCGAAATGTTCCTAGGAATCGAGATAATTAATTGACTGACATCGGGGGGGGTGGGGGGGGGTGGGGGGTGTCGATCATTCCGTGTAACACGCACATGTGAGCTGCCGCGTGGCAGTGACTCTCCCACCTGCGGAGAAGGGCATGAAGGCGTCCCGCTTGCGGAATCTTCCGGCGGCGTCCAAGAAGTGCTCCGGGTAAAACTGGTCAGGCCTCTCCCACTGAGACTTGTCCCTGAGCACCGAGTGGAGGAGGGCGATCACAGGGGTGCCCTGCAGAGACAAAGACAAAGATCGCCACGTGGCCTTAGGGGACCGTTTGGGGCAAAGTGCTGTCCACGAGCAATGTCTATGAAGGCCGTCGCGGCACGCGAAAGGGGATGGGGTGTGGCCAACACCGTGCCCGAGCGCCTCTGTCTCCCCAGTGGCGATGATTTTCCGCACCACACAAGGCCACTGACTTTTGAGGATGACTTCACCCTAGGGGAGGCCCCAGGACCGGTTCAGATAATCGTCAGTGGGTGGTGTAGGGCCGTGCGCGGGAATCGAACCGAGGCCCACCGGGTCTTCATAAGGCGCAGCCCAAACCCCTGGGGGCCTCTGCCGCCTCTACCCCCCCCCCCCATCCCCGCCACAAACATCGCCACGAACCTTGGGCAGGAAAAATCCGCGGAAGGTGACATCGTTGGTTGTGGCGTGTGGCACGGCGATGGGCACAATGTTGGCAAAGCGCTGCACCTCGTGCACCACGGCATGCGTGTAGGGGAGGGCGTCGCGGTCGGCGAACGTTGGCAACCGCAGCGGGCCGACCACGCAGTCGATCTCCTCCTGCACACGCTCTGAAACGCGCGCGTCGGAGAGGGGGGGGTTATCGCAGCGTGACGGTCTGACCTGCTGCACGTGCAGCATGGACGTCTTGATCTACTCCGAAACACACAGCATGACAGCCTGATCTACTCCTGCGCTTGTTGTGTATGCACGCGCGGGCGCAGCATGACAGTCTGATCTGTTGCTGACACACACAGCATGACGGTCTGGTGTACTTCTGCACAGAGACAAATATCCCCCCCCTCCCCGTATAGCCTTTAACAGACTGTTGGGGCAAGTGCTGTTTGCAAGCACCTACGAAGGCCGGCACAGCACATGAGGGGATGGGTGGCCAGCACTACTCCTGCACACGCTCTTACACACAGCATTACATGTTGATCTACTCATGCACACAGCATTCCAGGTTGATCTACTCCTGCAGACGCTCTTACACACAGCATTACAGGTTGATCTATGCATGCACATGTTCCTACACACAGCATTACATGTTGATCTACTCATGCACACAGCATTCCAGGTTGATCTACTCCTGCACACGCTCTTACACACAGCATTACAGGTTGATCTACTCCTGCACACGCGCTTACACACAGCATTACAGGTTGATCTACTCCTGCACACGCTCTTACACACGGCATTCCAGGTTGATCTACTCATGCACACGCTCTTACACACGGCATTCCAGGTTGATCTACTCCTGCACACGCTCTTACACACAGCATTACAGGTTGATCTACTCCTGCACACGCTCTTACACACAGCATTACAGGTTGATCTACTGCTGCACACGCGCTTACACACAGCATTCCAGGTTGATCTACTGCTGCACACGCTCTTACACACAGCATTACAGGTTGATCTACTCATGCACACGCTCTTACACACGGCATTCCAGGTTGATCTACTCCTGCACACGCTCTTACACACAGCATTACAGGTTGACCTACTCCTGCACACGCTCTTACACACATCATTATAGGTTGATCTACTCATGCACGCGCTCTTACACACATCATTATAGGTTGATCTACTCATGCACGCGCTCTTACACAGCATTACAGGCTGATCTGCTCCTCCACGCACTTTTGCGCATGCACGAGAACATGTCACTTGGGGCCCGGGGTCATCGAGATCTCTGCTCGAGTCTCGGGGGTTGTGCGTTGCTCCCTCGCAGTGTTCAAGAAGGTTTCCGATCACGCTGGCAGGGTCGTCTCAAGGGTATTTGTTTATCCAGGTGAGCCACTCTAAATAGACCAGAATGGTCTCATTTGCAAAGGTGAGCTTGGCGAGTCATCAGTCAAAGGATAAGTGTTCATGCTGGGCCACGAGAGAGCCTCAGTTGGAATCCCAAAAATTACATCCGGGATTGAGGAGCAGAAAGCAAGTGTACTAATAATAATTTGAATGTATTTGTAAGACGCCTTCCACTAATGTCTCAAGGTGCCTTCTAAGAATAAGGAACTAGCAAGAGAGACAGAGAAGCTAAATAAAATAAACTGACTTAAGAAGATGTGTTTTAAGACGAGGCTTAAAGGTATCCACATTATCAGGTTCTCCTAGAGTGTAGAGTATTTCTTGTATGTCTAGGGTTTGTCCCGGTGCTCTGGCTTTGTCCCATATGCAAATGTTGCTTCCATAAGGAAGCGTTAAAAGCTCCTTCAAAAAAAATTATTAAGACTATCAATGGGTAAAAGTAATGGTGGGGGATGAGTAGATAGGTGAGCATGTAGGTTAGTAGGTGTAAAGTTATTTGAGCGAGTGGGTAAATGGGTAGTAACAGCGCCGCAGCTTGTGTTACACATATGTTGTGTGGTGATTGAAGTCATCGCGCCTCACCGCGCGCAGGACGTCACGTCGCCATACTACTCATCTACACATAGACATGACATTAACTTGCTAATCCCCCTAATCTCTCTGCCTAATCTCTCCCATCAACATAGCGCTAATCTCCCATTAACACTGCTGTTATGCGCATATGCGGGGAGGACACTCTTATGCGGCGACGGAAGCTCATTTCATGCTAATCTCTCTCCCTAATCTCTCTCTCCCTAATCTCTCCCATTAACACAACTGACGTGCTTGCGTCCGGGGATGGAATTCCTTTCCAGGTCAGACCCCACCTGCTTGCCCTTCGCCACGTATATAACCTCTTGTTGTAGCAGCTCTCTCGCTGGTTCAGCAGTTCTACTGCTGGATTATTTTTTTCACCTGAGGACAACCACTTGTGTTGCGATCGAAACGTCGTGATATATATTTTTAAATTTATTTTCTACTTATGTGACTTTACCGAAAGAACCAAAGAGTATGGATTCCTGCAGTCACGAAAGCTTCAAATCAAGAATGAGATAGTAGGTTAGTAACTAGGAGAAAAAGGCTTAGTAGGTACTTAGTTGGGTGGGTAAGAATGGTAGACTTGCAAGGTGAATAGTTGAGAGAGTAGGTTGGTAAGGGATGTAGTTTGACTATATAGTTTGCGTCATTTGACATCGACATTCTACAAAGCTGTTTTCCAGGATATGTGACAAAAGTACAACACTTACATGTGAGACTTTTATCCATATTTGATTAAATTCAAAGGCAAAACATGTACATTCAGCTGAAAAATCAAACATGGCAATTCAAACCTTCGTCCTAACCCAAAGTGGAAAGCGACCAAACGTTCTGGTTTGGCTGGGACAGTCACAGCTTCAGAAAAGGCTGTTCCGGCATTACAAAGCATTTCCCCCCCCCAAAAAATCGGGATTTTGTCCCGGATCAAAATTTTCCGGCTTCACCCTCGGGACTTGTGATTTCAGGCAGAGGTATGGAGCTACCTGAGTATGGAGACTCTAATTACGAACTTTGAGAGAACGACTTACAAACTTTCAGAGGGACAAACAAACCTGTTCTTATGTCCAATAGCCCGTTCAGACCGAGAGTCGTAAGTTCAACCACCACGCAATACATGGCGGTGGTGGCATCTACATCTGCAGAACGTGAAGAACCAGTGGTATCTACATCTTATAGGAGATTATACAACTTTTGAAGCCATTCCCCTGTTTAGTGTACACGCCATACTACACGTTTGGAATCAACAGGAGTAAAGTTGGACTTAAGAACAAATCGACTTATGCAGAGACCCCCAGAGCCTAACTCGTTCGTTAGTAGAGAAGACCCTGTAGTGGGTGGGGTTAGCAGAGAAGTGGGGCCTATGAGCAATGGGTGAAGCCATCAGAGAGAGAGAGAGAGCGATTGGTCAATCACTGTGTGGGGCGGGGCTAGTGGTTGAGTGGGCATGGTCACGTGTAAGTGGGTGGGGGGACTGAAAAAGGAAGGGGCCTGCCAACTCACGACCACACCATCCCAGTTGAGCCTCGCAGACATCACGATCGCTTTGCTCAAACCGCTCGGTCCGAAGCCAAGCTTGCCGCTGATGATGGATGGTGGTGGTGGCACTCACTCTGCACGTCCGGGAAGGTAATCATGTAGAAGAGGCCCAAGCGCAGGCTGTTGGCGGTCGTCTCCGTCCCCGCCTGGAAGAGGCTGGTGATGCAGGCGAGGAACGACTCGTTGTCAAACGTCGTGCTGCGCATGCCTGCCTCCTTTCATCGACAAACCGCGGGTGGCCATTGGTGATTATCGTGCATTTCGCAATGTCAGTTGTAAAACCAGTAACAATAATATTGTCGTGGACAACAACAGAGGGAGGTGCAGAAAAAAATCTGTTGTGCAGTATGGTGCGAAAGAAGTTCAATATACATGTACATAGTGTAACAGCGTGGCACAGGGATTTGGACCCCAAGCCTCACGTGCACATTGCATCACAGCCAAGACAGCAGTTATATATATACAATATAGAGTAAGTACTCGGGTTGCGGAAGGCCCGACTTACGGAAATGCTCCCATAAATAATGTAAAAAAATTCAACATGCGGAAATTGTTTAGTTCGTTATATGGGCAGTGAGGTTGCGGATGAATACCGCCTTACGCCTCCCTCTACAAAAATATCACCTTCACAAAGCCTGAGCTTCACTAGGATTTGGGTTTCTGGAATTTTTTGGAGCGTTACGTAATTCGTTTCTTTTGTAGCATTATGTAATTGTTTGTTTTCTGTGCTTAGAACTATCTCCTTTTCCCCATGTTTCTACTCATAGTTTTCTACATTTTAAGTTTATTTCATGAGTTATTTACTTATGTACTTGATTTAACACAATTACACTTCGATTGCTTATGGTCTCAACCAACAGCAATCGAAGAAGTCTCGGCTAGCCTAATGCATAGTAATTGAACATTTAGGAGTGACTGCTTTCTGTTAACAATATAAAAAAATATGTGGTATTCATAAAGAATTGGATACAGTGAATGTTCAACTAGTTTCATAATGGGTAGTGTTAGGATAGATATTCGACTAAATGAAAGAATCGTAGGAAGGGCAGAGCATATGTACAGCGATACGTTACAGGTAGCGATAGAAAATGGACGACAGCGTGATACTGTATTGAGAGAAAACGAACCTCGTAATCGGGTAGGGGGGAAATTTGTTGAGTTTCCTACATACGGAAAATTAGGATTCCGGATTGTTCTCCGGAACCTAACCCTTCCGTAACTCGGGGACTGCCTGTACAGCAGGCATCAAGGATCGAACCCACGTCCTCCTACATTCCAGGCAAGGTAGATAACATCTCGCCACCTTTTCTTAGTTTAAGTTTCTTCATTGAACTGCAGTTTAACACCTCTTAAGTACAGCCTGTTTCTCCTATAACGCGGTGGTAGTTTTTGCGGTCCTGAAGAACACCGCGTTATGGAAAAATTGCGTTATTATAAATAATATAGGATAAAAAGCACAGTCCACGATAACACATGAGATGCATACAAAGGCTGAACAAAGACTGAGGCATGTGGGTAGCATCTACTGTAGAAGCATCAAGCACCATCCCAATGCCTTGTGTGATGATGCTACCCCAAGGCAGCATGTAAAAACGCTTATTCCTACTCGTGCGACGTAGTTCTGTTCACTCGATCACGTTATATCCAATTCGCATCCACGTTATTATAAAAATGTCTTCTCTAACAATTCATCGTGTTATATATCTAATTCGCGTTATTAAAACTACACGCAGCATTACAGGAGAAAAGACTGTACTGTAAGTTATACTCCAAAGCCAAGCAGAGTTGGGCCTGGATAGTGCTTGAATACGTGACCGCCATGCATCATACTGGTGTTGTAGGCTACTGAGTGGCTATGTTTTCAGTCCAGGGCAGTGAAGTACTCTCTCCCATTATCTCACCAGCACAGCTTTACCAGGAAGCAACAACACTCCGGCAATACACCCGCTATCAAGACGAAGGGCCTGACCGCCCAAACAGACCTCGCCAACCTCCCAATAATGTGCCCCAAATCGAGAACGCCGCAGAACGACTCGGCCGCATGCCGAGCATCATCGAAGGATGATGGAGGAACAAGTGGCAGAACGCAAACATCATCGGGAAGCTGAATGCTCCGCAACCATCGGGTTTACCTTACATCATATCTGAACTCGCCACGGCAGATGCAATCACCTCCTCCACAAACATATCTTAAATGAAACTTTTTTTTATTTTACCAGGTGAGGCTATAGATCTCTTTTTCGGAAGTGACCTGGCCACAAATGATCGCTCAACGAAGTGGTTTATCGTGTGGAAATTTATAGCAGCCATATACTCTAAACGCCTATTCTTTAGTTCTTTTGGTAAAGTCACGTAGATAGAAAGTAAAAAAAAAACTCACGACGTTTCGATCGCAACACAAGTGGTCGTCATCAGGTAGAGAGAAAAGTGGAGGCAAGCCTCCAACTGCAACTGTTTATAAAGGCTTGAAATGGACGCAAACGAGCCAAAGCTGTGAGTGGGCGGGGCACAAGAGCCGTGGAGCCAGCGCTGAGCGGTGTGTCAGCAGCATGGGCGGGGCAGCCAATGCTAATGCAGGGAGAGAGAAGGAGCAGAGATAGGTGGAGAGAGATGGGGAGAGACAGGGGGCGAGAGAGGGGGCAGAGATAGGGGGAGGGAAGGGGGGAAGAGATAGGGGGAGGGAAGGGGGGAAGAGATAGGGGAGAGGGGGGCAGAAACAGGGGGCAGAGATAGGGGAGAGAGAGACAGGGGAGAGAAAGGGGGAGAGAGATGGGATAGAGATAGGGGGGGAGAGAGAGGGGTAGAGATAGGGGAGAGATTTGGGGGGTAGAGATAGGGGGAGAGGGGGGGAGAGAGAAGGGGTAGAGATAGGGAGAGAGAGGGGGGTGAGAGATAGTGGGAGAGAGGGGTAGAGATGGGGGGCATTGCACCTCGCTCCACACATCCACACTGCTGACGGCGGAGTTTGACAAGAAATTTCAAATCAAGTCATGACCCGAAGTGGCTGATGACATCTTTCCAATGATTGCTGAGTTTATAACCGTCTTCTCGGTTTAAATTGTGTATATATTTTTTGGATGGCTTCATGAACAAATCTTTGTTGATAGCCAGTAGGCTTGCAAAATACCAACGATTTAGAGAAATACATTTCGTGTGAGCCAGCCGCATTAGAATAATGATCAGCTACGGCAGAAGTATTGCTCCTACCGTGTTTCAAATCTGCCTTATGTTCACGAACACGGTCCGAGACATGTCGTTTAGTTTCCCCAATGTAACTGCTGCCGCAGATACAGCTTAGTTTGTAGACACCGGAATATTGCATGTCAGGAATCTTGTTCTTCACGGATGAGATCAAATCACGAATTTTATGTACTGTGTTAAATTGGACCTGGATATTGTGTTTGTTCATGATTTTGGAAATCTTTTTGGTTGCCCCTGCTATGTATGGCAAGGTGATATGAAGAATAGAAGAATATTAATTCCTGCAGTCACAAAAGTTTTAAGTCAAAACTCTAAACGCCTGTTTTTAAATGTGGAGGGAAACCCCAGAGGACATGAAGAAAAATCCATGCAACCATGGGAAGTTCATGCAAACTCCAAATATACAAGTGTAATGGTCAAGAACAAACTCACTACCTCATGTATGCTAAAAACTAAACAATTTTTCATTTTAACCACGTAAGGCCCAATGGGCTATGTAGTTCTTTTTCAAATTCGACCTGGCCTCAAATGATAGCTCAACAAAGTGACTTATCGCGTGGAAATGTATAGGAGCCAAATACTCATAAATGCGTGATGTTGATTCTAAATGTGGAGGGAAAACCCGGAGGACCCGGATAAAAATCCACGTGACCACAGGGGAGAGAGACACGTAAAATCCAAATATACAGCAGGTGTCAGGGTCGGGATCGAACCCACGCATGAAGCAACTTTGACATCTGTGTCGCGTATGCGATGGTCGTTCCTCCTGCAGGCGGCTTTACCCAGACAGCAGAGGCCCCATCTGCCTCTTCCCTCTTTGCCTGTCTATGCTCATGCATCGTTGTCCGTTTACAGGCTCGTGCAATAAAGCACAAATTGCATTTTAATGTTTCTTCACTTATTCGTACTGGTGAACGATACTTTATAATAATTTGTCCGAGCCAACTTTCGTTACGGGACATTTTTTTTAATTTGACATTCATTTATGTTAGTGCAGTATGTTCAATGTCATATGTAACTCGGTTAGATTTTTTCTCTGCTTTGTATTTAATTGTTTTGGCAATTTTTTGTTCTATTTGTTTCGCTGTTGTACTTCTCTCTTGTCGTTTTGGTGACTCAGGTCACGCTTTCTAAGTTACACTTTATCCTGCTCTCTTTTGAGTTCCCACCTGGTTACTTAAAATATGATATTACATTTTTTTTTAAAACACGTTTTAATGAAGTGTACCCTACCAGTAATGGAAGAACTCCACGACTCCAGGAAGTGGCCCCGAAGCTTGCCACAACGTAAGGGACCGTGGTCAATTACAGCCAACGTCAGTTTACCGTGGACAATTAGACCCAAGCCGAAACATAACATATAAAAAAGAATTTTGAAATATATACATTTTATATACTTTTTATGATAGAATATAGCATAGTCATTAGTATGACGTAAGTATATCAAGTTTGCAGTCGATACCACATTGGGAAGTGGGTTAAAATTGAGTTACAAGATTTGAAGATACAACAGTGAGTTAAATAAAAGCGTGTAAAAATAGCAGCCATTTGCCCCGGAGTTTTTCCCCTTCCTGTCATGGACCATCTGCCGCATGTTCACTCCACAGTATCAAGGCCAGTCCCCAAGCCCAGCTGCGTCCGATAGGCAGCTGGCCATTAAACTACCGCCCAAATTATGATTTATTTGCCGGCCATTGAACAAAGACGTTATTCACGAACTTGGTATCTGTGAATCGCATCTGGAACTTCACACGACTGCATCGAGAAATAGATAAATTGATGAGATAAAATGACGAGGGACAATGTGATGCGAGAAAGTGATAATATAAAGTGAAGAGAAAGTGATGAGAAAGATGAGATACATAATTTTCATGCACTTAATAGCCTACGTATTTATTTAAACTAATTCATTAAAACATTTTTTCATCCGCCAAATGTGCCGTTCATGAGCGTCTCTGGGAACGTATATCCCTCAGCGCGAATAGCGAGGGAAACGCCGTAAACCTCTTCGGCCTGCTTGTCGATGAAGGCGTCGATGTAGTCCCGCGGCTCATTGGGCGTGCGCTCGGCCCGGTGCTCATCCATGTAGACCTGCAGGAAGTCGAAAAACCGCTGCTTGTCCTTGAACAGCTGCTTGTGCGGCCCCGGGAAGTGCTTCAGCAGGGGGAACGCGTTGTACACCTGGAACGAGGAGAGCAGGAGCGCCGCCGACCGGGAATGAAGGCTCCGTCGGTAGGAATAAGGCGACCCCAAAACCACGCCCCCCCCCCCCCCCGGTCTTGGATGGGACTGGTCGTCACCGTTTCAGAAAGGCTGTCCCAAGTGGCGTAGTAACGACATTGTCAGTTCGGGGAGGGAGAAGGTCTGGTCAGGTGGGGAACCCCCAATATTTGATTCGTCTCGCACGGTCGCACCTAGAGGCTATTATATACCGTGGCTCCTCTTGCCTATTCACATCTTCGTTACGTTCACGGTCTCCAACATTTAAACGCTGCAGGGCCGCTCCGTCCTTGCAAAATGCAGCCACTACAGCTCCGTAGTAATACCTCTTTGCAATATAATTTATGCGTATCTAATGAAATACATATCTTAGAAATGGAGTTATATGTCCAAAGTTATTTTATTCAAGTTACTGTCATTCAAAGCAAATTCTGTTACGTTTCTTTACGGTAAAAAAGCTATTACTTCCAATACTAAACCGTTGAACACATATCTCGAGGTGGCTATTAAAGGGGCCCCTACTCGTAGCTTTTGGCATCGGGGGGGGGGGGGGGGGGTCAAGGCACCCCCTGCCACATGAACACGGGGAGAGAGAGACATGCAAACTCCAAATACACAGCATGCGTCAGAATCGGGATCGAACCCATGGCCTCCTGCATACCAGGCGAGGTTAACATCTCACCACCACCTCCACCTACCGTGTACATCGCCTCGATTCACGTCATTTTGATATCTGCCGCCGCACCATTTCAGGAGCGGTATCCCCGACGTAAACCCGGGGGCACTTACTGGCACGTGGAAAATAAATCCTTTCAGCCACGGCAAAATGTATGTTAGGCCCCCGTAAAGAACATTTCTGCGGGCGGGCTGGGCACGCAGCAAGCTCACCTGCGCCCAAGCGTTGCCCATCGTCTGCACATTGCTGTTGAGCAACTCGAGCAGGTGGATGATCTGCGTGTCGCTGATGTCGAACCGCTTGCCCAGCGTGATGGAGCAGATCACGTTCCCCGTCGCCAAGTTGATGTGGATCATCGTCTCGAATGGCTTCCCTTGTGCATGAAACCAACGTCAGGAGGGGGTTTCAAAGTGCGTCGTTTAGTTCCCTGGCTAACCCATGATCTAGCACGCTAGTCTGCCAGTATTGTCGCAACATTTTTTCTAATTTTGGCCAATTTGGACACCGACGCCGGCAACAATGGCCTCTCCTCTTGCAAATGGCGTCGTTGCGTATTTATATTCGCTGCGAGTGAAACGGACCGCACCTGGTATTGTGACGGTTGTTATACCCATAGTTCAAATTAGGGTAACCGGCTTCTGCTGGGCCAATCTTTAAGACAGCAGTTCTCAACTGGAGGTACGTGGACCCCTGGGGGTAACATGGCAATGTCCCAGGGGGTATGCGAGGTGGTTCATAAATGCGTGAAATTATATCGTACATGAGAGTTATTGGTAAATAGTCATGTATGAATCTGCAAGTATAATATAACTACAATAAAATGAAAATCCTCGTGGTAACCTAGAACGACGTGAAAGACCTTTCGAAACTCGTTGATCGTAAACAACGTTGGTTTGAAAAAGTAACCAGCGAGCACGAACAAATTATTTTATGCAAGCAGAGCATCCATTAAAAAAAAATTATTTGCTTGCCGTTATTCGCTAACTAGGATATCTCACAAAATGGGCATTTGGCTAAAATATTGATCTTTGGTTTTTTCGGTAGAGGAAACACATAACCGCAGATATATACAGACCTTAAGTAGAGGGAATTAACACAGATATACCAGGGGATACAGAGAGACGGAGCATCACACTAAATCAAACAGGGTTTAGCAAAATTTGGAAACTATGTGACTTTACCGAAAAAAACAAAGATTAATTCCTGCAGTCACGAAAGCACCAAATCGAGTTTGAACCACCTCTTCGGGGAGGTATGAAATCTGTGTCTTTGTGTTGTCTCTGCTGGTGTATCTGCCTTTGTGTCTTGAATTGGGTTTATGTCACTGTGCTGTCTCTGCCTATAGTTGTGTGCCTGGGTGTCTCTAAGTGTGTGCTGCGGCGCCCTCTCTGTGTGCCTGAGAACTTGTATCATGCTAATTTGTGTTCAATTGTCTCTGAAACCCAGTCCCTCCATCTCTGGCTATTTAAGGCCTCGGTACAGAGCTGCTTCACCTCTTAATTGTGTGCGTGTCTCCCCCCATAGGTCTCTCTACGATAAGTATTCTATCACTATCTTAAATTTCACACTCAACTTACAATTTAACAATCTTTGAAATAGTGTATTCAACCAGACCATGCGTTGATTGTGTTTTAACCGACCGTCTGTGTTGCTTTACATAGTTTCCAAATTTTTCTAAACCCTGTTTGATTTAGTGTGATGCTCTGTCTCTCTGTATCCCCTGGTATATTTGTGTTAATTCCCTCTACTTAAGGTCTGTATATATATCTGCGGTTATGTGTTTCCTCTACCTGATGATTGCTTGTGTTGCAATCGAAATGTCGTATATTATGTAATTTTATTTTTTCTTATTTCTACGTGACTTTACCGAAAAAAAACAAAGATTAATTCCTGCAGTCACGAAAGCACCAAATCTAGTTTAAAATATTGATGTTCATTATTCATACATTTATTTCTCAGAACCATGTTGGGTCAAAGAATCGGGAGGGTGGGGTACTCGGTTGAAAGGAAATTCAACAAGGGGGCGCCACAGTAGCCAAATAAAGGTCGAGAATCACTGCTTTAAGACATTCAGGGGCTCTTTTTTATTTTGTGCCGTGGCTGTTTACCACCTTACGATATTCATGTTAAGGCACCACGGTGGCGAGATGTTAACTACCTTGCCTGGTATACAGTAGGTTGTGGGTGCGATCCAGACCCTGACTCATGTATATTGGGAGTTTGTGTGTCTCTCTCCCCGTGGTTGAGAGGTTTTTTCTCCGGGTCCCTCCGGTTTTTCCCTCCACATTTAGAATCAACGTGCTTTTAAGAGTATTTGGCTGCTGTAAATTTCCACACGATCGGCCACTTCGTTGAGCTATCATTTGTGGCCAGGTCGCTTCTTAAAAAGAAGATACGTAGCTCAGTGGGAGCCCTTACCTTTGCAAAATTAAAAAAGACAACGGTCAAGGGGTCAGCCAATCGCGTCAGACTGCCACGCGCTCTGTGCTCCCTCTCGCCGAGTCCGCTTTCGAGAGGCTCTATCTTAAAGGGGCCACGTGTTGTTAATACAATACTTTGAGGAAGAAAAAAAAGAGGCCGCGTGTGAATGTTCGGCTCGTTGAATGGGTTTCACGGGGGGGGGGGCGGGGGTGGAGTGCTAAGTCTCTGGTCAGCCCCATCCCCCCACACCAGCCGCCGAATGTTTCCCCCCCCCCCCCCGAGTCCCCCCAGCACAACCGTCCATGTCCTTGAAGCGCTGCAGGAGGGCTTCGGCCTCCTCTGCGACCACTGCCTCCACGCTCCTCTTGCCCATGCCCAGCGTCCGGAGCACGGACAGCGAGAAGCGTCTCCGAATGCGCGCCTGCTCGCTCTGCGCAAACACCAGCCCTGCGATGGGAGGAGGTACGGACGATGCGCAGAGAGACAAACACAGTCAAGGCCGGTGGTTCTTAACCTGGGGTGCACACTGCACCCCCTGGGGATGCGAGATGCCCTTTCTGGGGGTGCGAGACGTGGGCAGGGTGCTTCAAAAATGTTTTAACTCTTATATGAGACTATCGTTTTTATTGGAAAAAGAATGGATAATAATATACTGTAACATGATAACAAATGTATCTTAATAGCTTCAAAAAGTCAAAGAGTCTCCACTTGTTTGCCATCGTTGTCAACAAATGCCTGGAATCTTCTCCAGGTGGCCTCCAGAGCCCGGAGGCACATTTCTTGTGCTATTGTTGTAAATTCTCTGAAGTGTTAACATTTTATTGAACCACCTTGTATTTATTAACATAATTTTTTTACGATTGAGAACAGGGGCGGAGCCAGGATTTTGAATTTCAATATTCTGAGATAGAGTGTATGTTTTCCAATGGGCACCACAAATGTATAAAACAAATTTTATTGGATTTGAACGCGGAGTTGATTAATAGGTCGGAGCCGCTGATGTGGCTAATAAGTTCGATAAGTTCGAAAGGCTGCCGCTCAAGCAGCCTGCAGGGCAGCACAAGGTGGCAGCCAGCATTTTGCAGCAGCCGGATATCCAGTTATCCCGATTACCGACTTTCCCAAAATTTCAGGGGAGGCTGAGCCCCCCCCCCAGCCCCCCCGTGGCTCCGCCCCTGATTGAGAACCAAATGGGGTGCAGGCTGCAGTAAAGGTTAAGAACCACGCTGCTCTAAAGGAACGGGGGCTCGACGAAGCCGACCGCGACACGGGGGATCTTTGTCTTTGGTGGTGGTGCACTTTACACGTCCTAACCTTTGTAGGAGGACAAGTCCCTGTGCAGGGGCACGATGGGACGGTCCGAGAAGTCGTCTGCATGCAACACGAGAGCCTCCCGCACGGCTTCGTATCCTGCCAGGACGACGCTGCGGCGTGGGCCGAGGCTCACGCTGTACACCGGCCCGTACGTCTCAGCCAGCTGTGCCATGCACGCCATCGGACATCGGAATAAGTGTTAAGTGTAACCGGTTGATCGTCGATCGGCCGGCCTTCCAGCATTAATGCCACGGTGGCAAGATGTTAGCGACCTCGCCCGGTGTACAGGTCGTGGGTTCGATCCCGACCCTGACGCCTGCTGTATATTTGGAGTTTGCGTGTCTCGCTTTCTCACCATGGCCATGTCGATTTTTATCCGGGTCCTCCGGTTTTCCCCTCCACATGTGGAATCAACATCACCTGTTTAGAGTTTTTGGCTGCTATAAATTTCCATGCAATAAGCCACTTCGTTGAGCTATCATTTGTGATCAGTTTGCTTCTGAGAAAGAGCTACACAGTTCAGTTGGGCCTTACCTGGTAAAATTAAAATTAGTTGAGTAAGTTTTCTTAGGTCGAACAACCGTGAGACAAGGCCATACAGGAGGCTCTGCCTGGTGTAGTCCAATCAATTTCAAGGACAATACACACATCAGATCATATTTGTTTGCATGGATTTACCACAAGCATGTGTGGTTAGGATTTCATATGCAGCACAAAGATCCATTTTTGATTTGGGTGTAGTCACGTGGTAGTTTTGGTCGAATTTCTTGTCATTCCTATTCTGTTCTAATTTGTACCAGGTTTCTCTGTCATATGTTAACGATTTAAAACTTTTTCAAATAAATCGATTTCAGTGGATTTTTTTTAAATCTTCTAAGAATTTCACGTTTCAAAAGACTTCCTTGGAATTGAATGTTTGGTGAGCTTTCCGTTATTGATTTATGTGGTTATTATGTCGTTGTTTTTACAAAACCCTTCAAAAACTAAAATATATATTGACTTAAAGCTTTCGTGACTGCAGGAACTCATATTCTTTGGGTCTTTCGGTAAAGTCACATAGATAGAAAAAAATAACAATAAAATTATGAAAATAATATAAATATATTTATCATCTTAATTTTCATTTTTATTATTTTATTGTTATTTTTTTTCTATCTGCATGACTTTACCGAAAGACCCAACGAATATAAAATATATACTGTATGCATACACTCATTTGTTTAGTCTCACCTAATGAACGAGATACATTCACAAAAAATGCTTGTTAAGCGAACACTTTAAATACAAATTTAAATCAAAATTTAAGCGAACACTTGTTAAGCGATCATCGTTTTCCCATTGACTCCCATGTTAAAAAAATAAGTTACGTTTCAACCCCAACATTTTCCACTCTTGAGCAACTTTTTTTTTAAACATGAGAAATACAAATCATGTTCAAATAAAGTAATAAATCATCAAAAGTAACACTCACCACACATGAAGACCACAGTGATTGCAGGTGCCTGTCCTCAGCATCTGCAATGAATTAGCGTCCCCCCACTCAACGCTCCCCCACCCACCCATTACAGAAACACCACGAGGCCCCCTCTCCATCACACAGCGAATCACGCATGCACACAGCACAGCTGGTAAACAAACAGCTGCAGGCTGCAGTGGGCCCCCTTCTCCCACGGAACGCATTCGATCGACCGGTCCTCCGCTCGCTACACGAGCATTTGCTCGTTTTGCGAACAAAATTGGTCTATATTGCAAATGCTCGTTGCAGCGGATTCTCGCCGAAAGAACGCTCTTTAAGCGAGACGCAGGCCTGTATAACTACAATTATCAAGGTTGTGGACACATTGCACCCTGGGTAACCGTATCACAGTGCTCACCTTTGTGAGGGTCTCGTACGGGGCATGCAGGTTGACTTGCATCAGATTTCCCAACAGGGGCCATGGCCGGGGACCTGGGGGGAATCTTTTGGAGTCGCCTCCCAGCAGACGTTGGGCGAACCAGACCATGAAGATCAGCAGCAGCAAGCACGAAGAAACCCAGGACGAGGAGCCGCCCAGACCGGCACTCAGAGACGCATCCACAGACATGGCGACCCTGCGCGATAGGGGGCGAGCATCAAGTGTTCAGGGAGACGCGATGCGTCACTGTTTTAGTTCCTCAGAAGTGGCAACCCTACCTCCCAAATGTTGTTGAGCACGGGGGGGGGGGGGGGAACGTTGGCAAAATCCGGAATCCCTTCGGGTCACGATGGTCATCTCTGGCACGACTTCCTTGCCTCCCCAAGTGCTGAATGAAGTGCCACGCCCTTCGTCGGCCAATCGCTGCCGCCTCCTTTTTCCTTCGCTCCCCGGGTGGAAGAGCAGGCGCCCTTTAATAGGCCCGCCTGCCGAGGGGTCGCCGGCGCTTAACGCTGGCCCCCCAACCCCCCTCTGAAGCTCGCTGCGGGCACCAGAGGGCTAAGATGACCCATCCCAGCCACACACATAGCACACCTCTGCTCGTCTCCCGGACCTTTGCATTTAAGTATGACCCTGGTTATACCGGACTGTGAAGACGACAGCAGCAGCGACGGTAGCCGCGGCAGGGGCCACGGCACCACAACGCATCTGGGGCACCAAACAGTTGTGCAAGCTAACAGAGAAAATGGTAAAAGTGGTGGGACCCCAAGGGGAGTTCGGGGGTAGGGGTGGGGTTGCACATAGCATCAGAGCAATGTTCTTGTGACCTTTAAATGCCTGCGACCTTTCTGAGAATTGAGTGTTTATATTCTTAGTTTTTTCGGTAAAGTCACGTTGAAGAGAAACAACAAAATAGCAAAATATATATATAAAACAATAAAAATATATATTTTTGTTATTTTGTTGTTTCTCTTCAACGTGACTTTACCGAAAAAACTAAGAATATGAATTACTGCAGTCACGAAAGCTTTAAATCAAAATTTAATTGAGTGTTTGTTTGGGACGCTTGAGGTAACATTTAAATCAGTCACGAGGCGTAGTCGGCCAAGGACAATTGCGCCAGGCGCGTAACCTCTTGTGAAAGCGTTCACATAGATTGTTCTTGGCTACCGTGCACCGGCATATCGAGTGATTTGTTTGATCCACGGAGCACGGGGAAGGGGGGAGGGGAGGTTGGCGGAGGGGGTGACCACGGGTAGAGCAGGCACCATTTCTTTGAGGGTCGCAGTCCACCGCTTCGAACGCCGACCGCCAACAAAAGTGCGCAATTTGCTGGAGTTTGCGCGTCAAGACGGGCGACGTGTTGTGTTCTTATTATAACGTGATACGGACGTTATTGTAGTAAAACAAATCGTGAAAATACTGTTTGCTATCTGTATTATTGTTGTTCGCACTATTTCCGATACCCTAATGAAGCCCTCATATATTGCTCATACGAAAGAAATAACGTCGGAATGCATCCCCATATACACAATGGTATAATGACCCCTTTTTAATGCTGATTTGCTTAGCGCTCACTTCTCCAGGAACGCTTCTTGAGCGCTAAGCAAGATCTGCCGTATTTTAGTACACTACATACATATGTACATATATATGTACTATACTAATTCACAGACACTAGTTCAGTGGTTCTTAACCTGGGTTCGATCGAACCCCAGGGGTTCGGTGAGTCGATCTCAGGGGTTCTGCAGAGCCCCCGCCACGGAGGTCGGGACACACTTGAATTATTGTGTAAATTTGTGATGACACACACGGCCCGCTTGGCCATCACTGGCTGCAGATGATCATGCTACACTGCTTGGCCAATCAGCGCTGCGGGGAATTTAGTGCATACTCAGTAGTCAACGTGTGACTGTTGTTGTCGTACGTCGTGTGATTTCTTTAATATTTTATCCATACTAACTATGTCGGGCAAAAGAAGAAAGTGGTCGGACGAATATGTACAACATGGATTCTCATGTATCACGGAACGTGATGGGAGTGAGCGTCCTATCTGCATGATTTGCAACGCCAAGTTGAGCAACTCTAGTCTTGCACCGGCAAAACTAAAGGAACACTTCTTGAAGCTGCATGGAGACGGGGAATACAAGAACACAACACTTGCTGAATTCAGGGTGAAGAGAGCCAGATTCGATGAAAGGGCCACTCTGCCTGCTCTTGGATTTGTACCTGTTAACAAACCGATCCTGACAGCATCGTACGAAGTTGCTTACCTGATCGCAAAGCAGGGCAAGCCACACACCATTGGTGAAACACTTGTGAAACCAGCTGCATTAAAGATGGCGAATCTGATACTCGGAACAGCGGCCGAAGGTAAATTATCCCAAATTCCCCTTTCAAATGACACCGTCAGTGACAGAATAGAAGACATGAGTAAAGACATCTTGGCTCAAGTAGTCGCGGATCTGATTTCAAGCCCGGCAAAATTCAGCCTTCAACTCGACGAAACCACAGACGTTTCTGATCTAAGCCAGCTTGCTGTTTTTGTACGCTATGTGAAAGACGACATGATAAAAGAAGAGTTTTTATTTTGTAAGCCTCTTACAACAACAACGAAGGCAGCCGATGTGAAGAAGCTTGTGGATGACTTCTTCAGAGACATCAATCTTTCATGGGATATGGTTTCTGCAGTTTGTACGGACGGAGCTCCAGTCATGCTGGGAAGAAAGTCTGGTTTTGGTGCGCTAGTAAAGGCCGATGCACCACACATCATTGTGACGCATTGTATTCTGCACAGGCATGCGTTGGCAACAAAAACCTTACCTCCAAAAATGACAGAAGTATTAAAAACTGTGGTGGAATGTGTGAACTATGTGCGAAAAAGTGCTCTGAGGCACCGCATCTTCAGTGAGCTGTGTAAAGAAATGGGCTCTGAATTTGAGGTACTTCTGCTCCATTCTAATATTCGGTGGTTATCCCGGGGACAGGTGCTGAATCGTGTTTTTGCCATGCGTGTGGAATTAGCCCTGTTTTTGCAAGAGCACCAACACTGCCATGCAGATTGCTTCAAAAATCCTGAGTTCATTCTCATTTTAGCGTACATGGCTGATATATTCGCAGCTCTCAATCATCTCAATCAGCAGATGCAGGGTGGTGGAGTCAATATCATGGAAGCGGAAGAACACCTGAAGGATTTTCAAAAAAAGCTACCGTTATGGAAACGACGAACAGAGAACAATAACTTCGCAAACTTCCCGCTTCTGGACGACTGTGCAAGTAAGATCGAAGATGTGTCTGGAATCGGAGATATTTCTGTATCCACGGAACTGAAGCAAACAATTGCCACGCACTTAGATGAGCTTGCAAAGTCTCTCGACGGATATTTCCCTACAAGAGAGTCATATCCAGCATGGGTGAGACAGCCGTTCACGTTTGCTGTTGAAACAGCAGATGTTAATGATGAATTCCTCGACGAAATCATTGAAATTCAGCAGAGCCAGGTTCAACAGCAACTCTTCAGAACAACAACGCTCTCAACATTTTGGTGTCGACAAATGAACAAGTATCCAGTTATTGCTAAGAAAGCCCTGGATTTTTTTATACCATTTGTTACAACATATCTTTGTGAGCAATCCTTTTCGAGGATGCTGGACATAAAAACGAAGAAAAGGAACAGACTTTGCTGTGAAAATGACATGAGAGTGGCACTTGCCAAGGTGAAGCCACGCATATCTGAACTGATCTCTCAAAGGCAACAGCAGAAGTCACATTGATTTTCAGGTATGTAATTTGTTGTGAGTTTATGCATTGTGTTGGTTTTATTCTTTGAACAAGGTAATGTTCATGCACGGCTCATTTTGTGTACCAGTAAAACACATATCTATGTCTTGAAATTGAAAAAAAAAATCACATTTTATTTTTCACTAAAGAGGGGTTCGGTGAATGCGCATATGAAACTGGTGGGGTTCGGTACCTCCAACAAGGTTAAGAACCACTGCACTAGTTGGAGGTACTCGCTCTTATTCCGGCCTTCACAGCCTTAGGGGATGACCACATACTGGGTTGGGACAGCCAACATGCTGCCAGACCCACAGCTTGAAGAGGGCGAAGATCAGGATGATGACGGCAAGACCAGTTCCATTCCAGATTGCAGCAGCTCCGACTGTGAGTCAGAGCTCGCCTTTTATCCTATCCAGCGTGGCCAGGCTCCGCACCCCTCTGGATCCCCCAGAGGGTTACGTGCCTTGCCCACAGGTGCAACTGGTAGAACGGGGTGTTACCCCTAATTCCATTGTCTACCAATCTCCCAGCAGCACGTGCTACAGTGACTCATTCAATGTCACTACACATATAAAATTTTCCTGGCTGACTGGCACGCGGGCAGTGGTGATGCCACCGCTCACATCTGCGCATTGACATCACCGGCATCCCACAGCGTTGAGCTGGTTTTGTGCATGCTGACGTCACGCAAATGTCATGCATTCATGTAGTGGTGTGGGGGAGTGTAACTATTTAAAAACTAAACCTTAAAACATATTTTTTTTACCAAGTAAGGCTCTTGCTCTTTTTTCAGAAGCGACCCGGCCACAAAATACAGCTCAGCAAAGTGGCTTATCACGCGGAAATGGATAGCAGCCAAATAATATAATCTAAACGCGTAATTACTCTTTGTTTTTTTCGGTAAAGTCACGTAGAAAAAATTACATAATGGCATACGACGTTTCGATTGCAACACAAGCAATCATCATCAGGTAGAGGAAACACATAACCGCAGATATATATACAGACCCTAAGGAGAAGAAATTAACACAGATACACCAGGGGATACAGAGAGAGACGGAGGAGCACACTAAATCAAACAGGGTTTAGCAAAATTTGGAAACTATATAAAGCAACACAGACGGTCGGTTAAAACACAATTAACGCATAGACTTGTTGATTACGCTATTTTAAAGATTGCTAAATTGTAAGTTAAGTGTGAAATTTAAGAGAGTGATAGAATACAGACCGCAAAGAGACATATGGGAGGAGACATGCACACAGTGAAGAAGTGAAGCAGCATCTCTATGCCGAGGTCTTAAATAGATAGACGGTGGGGCTGGGACTCAGAGACAATGGGACACAAATTAGCATGATATAAGTTGTCAAGCACACAGGGAGGACGTCGCAGTGCACACTCGGAGAAACCAAGGCACACACACAGGCAGAGACAGCACAGCGACATAAACCCAATTCAAGACACAAAGGCAGACACACCAGCAGAGACAACACAAAGACACAGACTTCATACCTCCCCGTAGAGGTGGTTCAAACTCGAATTGCCGCTTTCGTGACTGCAGGAATTACTCTTTGGATTTTTCGGTAAAATCACGTAGAAAAAAAAATACATAATGGCATACTACGTTCCGATTGCAACACAAGCAATCATCATCAGGTAGAGGAAACACATAACCGCAGATATATATACAGACCCTAAGAAGAGGGAATTAACACAGATACACCAGGGGATACAGAGAGAGACGGAGGAGCACACTAAATCAAACAGGGTTTAGCAAAATTTGGAAACTATATAAAGCAATACAGACGGTCGGTTAAAACACAATTAACGGATGTCTTGTTGATTATGCTATTTCAAAGATTGCTAAATTGTAAGTTAAGTGTGAAATTTAAGAGAGTGATAGAATAAAGACCGCAAAGAGACATGTGGGGTGTTGTATATGTAGGTTATGAAAATTTGATGAAA